ACCTTATCACAGTGGGCACACACTCAATGTTTGGTGTCTTAGAGGTGAAGGGAGAGACTCACCTTATCACAGTGGGCACACACTCAATGTTTGGTGTCTTAGAGGTGAAGGGAGAGACTCACCTTATCACAGTGGGCACACACTCAATGTTTGGTGTCTTAGAGGTGAAGGGAGAGGCCACAGAGGCTTCTGCTTCTGACAGGGAGATGCCAGCATGGGCAGTTTTTAAAGCCTTGAAAAAAGACATGTGTGTGCAATCACTAGATATTTTAATACTGTTATTTAAAAATAATATTCCAAATTAGATCATCTAATCAGAAATAATCAGAAATAATGATGAATATTCAAATAATTTTTTGCACTGATCAGAATGGTTCAATATTGTTAAAATGTTTTTTATTTGTCTGACAAGATTAATTTCAACTCTTCTTGGTCCCAAACTTTTATGTTAAAGATCTAAATTTACTAGAATGACAGTAAGGTCACTTTATACTTAAATTATCAATGAGTAAACTTTGAGATTCTTTCTAAATTGTAAGCATGTTTTTCAGAGGAGGATGCATATTTTTCACAGAGGATAAAGAAACTTTCTATAATAATACTTACTCCACAGTCATTGGCACCGTCTCCACACATTCCAACAACATATCTTAAAACAAAATTAATTTTTTTATAATAATCATTTACAACTTGCCATGAAGTCATTTTGTCAAAACAGCAAAAGCTTCTTAATATGTTTTACTGACCAGATGTCTTTGTTTGTTTTTTATGTAGATGAATTCACCAGCAGAGCTTTCTGTTCACCATTACTTATTTAAGATTTTCAATAAATAATAGGCTTCTTAGATGTAGATTTATGTAGTAGGTAGGGTTTTAAGGAAACGCACCCTAGGTCTTGGAGTTGTTCTATCAGTTGACCCTTTTGGTCAGGAGACATTCTGGCAAATATTGTACCTTTTACACAGATCTAGAACAAAAACCATGCATTTAAGTCAAAACATATAACAATATGCAAGACAGTGAGTCATTTAAATTCAACCTCATTCTTGAAATAATATCAGAGTAATTTACATTCAGTTTTACAGTTACATGTAACACAATTACAATTGCCACCACATTCATCAGCTCATAAATTCCTCTTATTGATGAAATATAAATCAATATTTGTGTTAAAGCAAATTAATGAAATAGAAAAAATACAAACCTTTGGCAAGAGTTCAGGAAAATATTGCCTTACTACCCCAAAAGAGCGTCCATCAAGAGCAAAGTGGTATGCATCAGCTCTTACAATGTTCAAGGCGTGATAAGACTGAAACAGAAAATAGTGCAATGCATACATTCTTTGTTTAATATAATATCTCAGTATAAAAACTCTGGTCAAACTCTGAACAATCGAGTTCAACAGATACAACATGTTTCTCCATCTAACAAACAAGCTTGTTGCTATATAGGATGAAACATTTCCAAGCAGTTTGTAATGATCACTCACTGCGTCACTTTCCTCGGCTGTGGATACCGTAAGTTCATTGTCCAGGTTGACCTCAGCATATTCCCAGTGGATGACTGCCTCACTGTTCTTGCTGGGAGGACTGGCTTTCACCATAATTACCTTCTCTTCCTCATCCACCATTGCACAATCCCTGGCAACACTTATGGCTGTGTGCATGTTGTCACCTTGAAAACGGAGACATGGCAAAAATATATATCACTGATGACAAAAACCTATATAATGATTTGTATTTAACCCATGTAATTATTAAAATAACATCACTGAAATGAGTGCCAATTTTATTTCTTGTTTGTTCTTCTGTACATTTGCTAATTTTTATAAGGTGTTTCTTTGAAAGAAAACTGCAGAAAACCTTGTTTGAAATCGAATAATGATAATCAGTATCATTGTGTTTTTCACTATTGTGCTAGTAACTGTTTTTCTTCACATCCAAATGTTTCAGTCTCTTGTAAAAAGTGTTACACATTCCAGCTTTTAAGTCACAAAATTAATATAAATGAACAAAGATAAAACAAAATTCAAACCTGTGGCCATCACAACCCTGATGTTAGCTGCCTTCAGTTGTCTTATTACAGGAGTAGTCTCTGGTTTTAAACTGTTCTGCATAATTATCAGACCTAGGAATGTCAGCTCACACTCTACAGTTTCCCTGAAAAATAATATGCATGCAATCACAATAGTAAAAGTCCCTGCCAAAAATATGAAAAAAATTAAATTTCAGATGTATTTACAAAAGATATTATCAAAATAAAAATTTTCTCAAATTTCCAACTGAATCTCAAACACCTTAAAGTGTACACAGAACCAGGATTTGTTGAAAATTGTTGCACTCTTTACCAGTAGTGCTTTGAGAAGTCCTAACATAAGTTTTCCTCCTTTCACAAGTTCTCAACAAGTTTGCCCCCTGCTGTTGAGTTTAAACGAGATGTTATAATAATTAATTTAAGCTGCAGAGGTGCTGTAATGATGACCCTCTACCAAGGCTATTAAGTTGTCATTCCCTCTAGACAGGCTGCATCGCTAAAGCTGGCCCGTCTGAAAAAGTGAACTTTTTTACCATGACACTTTACTTCCTTCAAATTTTACCCAGTGGACCATTATCTGGCAAAAAGGGTGGTTCGTATGAACACCCCCACCCCCACACACACCCCACCCCCAGGCTATGGACACGTAAAGAGTACCACATCATCTGGCACCTGGCTGTAAAAAATGGCCACAGCTTACCTCTGCACTCTCATGGCATGGTGCCAGTTCAGCTTGGGGTCCAACTGTCTCCAGCCCAGGGCAATGACACGAAACCCTTTCATGGTGAACCGATGAAGTACATCACTGTAGTCTTCTGGCACTGAATGTTGGAATGATAGCTTATGAGAAAATTATACAAAGCACATTTATTTAGCTTTTAACCTCCATGTAACATTATGGCCAAGTAAACCTGGGGCTGATGAAAAATGCACTTTACTTGATTGATATTTTATATTGTATGTTAGCTTGTATCTGAGAAGCATTCCTCACTTTTCATATCACTTTAATTTACAAAGTGTAACCTGAAGAAATCTTTGTTAAGATGGAGATTCACAGCATTAATTTTGAAAATTGTCTGTCATTTAAAACCACAGGACTTACAAGTGTCTTGCTTGCAGAGAGATGCTACTTTCTCTGGTGCTCCCTTGCAGTACAAGTCCATTTGGGTATTCCCCAGAGTTCTGGTAATCACACTCATGCGCTGTAAGGCTGACGTGAAAACAAACTGGCGTACAATCCCAACTTCAAAAGCAATCTGCAAATGTCAAAATAGTTACAGCATTCCAAATTACACAAAATCCTCAAACTTTTTGCTGAACATATCACGTTTTCAAATGATTTCTTTATCAAACACAAAAAATATTGCTTACATTCAAATGCTTGGTCTCATTTATGTACATAGCGCTTCTTTTTTAAATGCAACTTGATAAGTTTCACTAAATAATCCTTAGAATAAATGAACTTCAATATAGGACTTCTCCACTATCAAAGTCAGCAATACAATACCTTTACTGTTGTCTGTCAAAAATAATAACTTTTCTTAAGTTTTCAGATCCTCCATGCCATATTTATGTCCGTGTTACTACTATGCCAGCTTCCAAACACATAGGTTGCACTCACAATAAAACTATTTTCCTACATAGTTTGAACTCCTCAGGGACTCTCACTGAGTGCAATCAGATGAACAGATTAACACACCTCCTCTGATTTCCAAGGAAATCATATAATCACCCGCTCTCTGTATTCTACTCTAGGCCATGAGGTGGCATGTTAATCAGCAAATCTGATTGCATTCGGTGTGAGAACTACTAGCACGGTGGTTTCATTGTGAATGCACCCATAGAGAATATGACTGGGTTCCCATACCCAGATCGATCTAACAGGATTGATCCATCTCCGGAGGGTTTCTCACTAAATTGTTGTCAGCTTAAGTGGCTTAGATGTCTGGCACACCTACTGAAGCTGCTAAACGATAGTTAATTGCCCTTAGCAGCCTTAGGCATGAAAAACATCTAAGTCACTTAAGTTGATTGCAATCTAGTAAAAAGCCCTTCAGAGATAGATTGATCCACAGTTAGTACGACAGGGTCTGGGAATGGTCCCTATGTCTGCGGCACTGTTCACCTTGTCAGTATCTCCTGAGTAGTAACTTTCTTTGGTAATAGGTTTCACAATGGTGGGCACCATAATGTCAAATTTACTGGTATCCTGCCCAGGTTCTTCTAGGAGCTATGGTTGTGATAAAATGCAGTCATTTCAGTATGTAATTCACCAAACTTACCTCAAACCTCCAGTTCTATCTACCACGCAGTGCAGTGAGTCCAAAGAAAACCTCAAAACACACAAGAAATGGTGAAGTTGTGCAGAATCCAAGACACTCTATATGTTAATTTGGGTACAATTACACCACCAAAGAAAGGGAAACCATACCCAGGGAGAACCAAGAGAGATTTAAATATCCAGCCTAAGAAAAAAAAATCTCTGACAGGTTTTTATCCCCTATATCTGAAAGGGACCTTTTCCTTTTCTGCAAAATTCACCAATTCTTTATTTCTAATAACTTATTCCCATTGAAACTATGTAGATTGATCCAACTCCCCAGGGACTCTTCCTAAATGCCATCAGATTAACAGATTAACAGGCCTCTTGTTTCCAAGTTTCTCGTATAAACACCACCTTTCTATATTCTACTCAAGCCCAGGAAGAGGCATGTCATTCAGTTAATCTCATTGTATTCAGCAAGAGTCCCCTGGATCGATTGTTTCATTGGGAATTAGCCTTAAAGTTAAACCACTGAAGAAACCATCACCTGTTCAAACCCATCAAAGCCAGTTGAAGAGGTGAAAAGTGTGTCAAGTGAGGGCGGATGTACAGTAGTGGGGATCAAGTTATCAAAGCGAGTCGTCTCCCTTCCTGGTTCCTGCAATATCTGCCAACAAATGTGAAGGTGTTGTTAAAACTGAAAAAAACACACCAATAAAAAAAAAAAAAACACTGACAAGCCCTTTTCAAGTGTGGTACGCCTTTCTGTTTCACACTATTTTGACTGGTCCAAACATCCTTAGAGCACATTCAGATCCATCAGGGAATTAGCAACATCACTTTTTAAGTGGGGTCGGCCATATTTGTTCAGCGGATGGGTTAGTCCGCAAATCATCTGTTCTGAATTCGTTCTTACACTGCAGGGATTTTACTCCCTCTCACATTTCCTTCTGACTTTTTGGACCAATCAAAATAAATCCAGTTAAAGTGTACTTCGCAATATGGGCACCATAAAACCAAACAAGGCTTAAGTACAGAGTCACACACCACAAAACAACTAATTGGTTAATGAGGTTAAGAAAAAAAGATGTGTCTATTAAATTCAATCATCTTTATAAATTAAGCTAAAGCTATATGTTAATTTAAAATTATATTATAATGTTTCCATTTTATTAAATTCTCCTTACGTTCAAAACAATAAATACTCTTCAACAATAAAAATAATAAAGAAAACAAGATTGTCACTCATTATAGTTTTTTTTAATAACCAACAATAGAAGAACAAATTGACAACAACATCAACATAGACTATTCTATTCAGATGATATGAAATTAAACCTAGTACTGGATCTTACACTGAAATGAAGATCATGTTGTTTTGACCTTATCGCAAGGTCTTTTTCAGCTGAACTGATTTTGATTTGTCACTGGTGTCGTGTAAGATCCAGTACTAAATTTAATCTTATTATATCAGTGGAAGATTACTTAATGAATCAATAGAATATAACTGGATGAATCAAAATATTCACTTTGATATAGAGTTTTTTCTGTATATTTCTCTACTCTGCAGACTTACTAGGTAACATTTGTTTGCAGCTAAAAAAATCTCAAAAATCTCAGTCCACAGATAATTCAGTTAACTCACTTGATGTCTCCTAAATAATCAGAATTCCATCATACATTCAAAACATTCATACCCAGTTTGTAGACTCAAACATCTTCAAGTCAAGTGGATCTCCTTTCAGTTCTCCTTCTATCATGGTGAGTGAGTGACAGGTTGCCATGGCGGTCAGAAATGGACCAATAGGCAGGTCTGTGGGATGCTGGACGACATGGAGAAACCTGACAAACAACACATACTAATGTGACACCTTTTCCCTTGTATTACATTTAAAGATTATGATTAAGAAACTTTATAAGGCTTTATACAGAATGTTTCAGCTACATTAAACATACCTACCATAAGTTTCATTTTGGTTCAATGGTGAAATGATTCATTTTGGTTTTGATACAATATTTGGCAAAGTGACTTGAATAGTGCAAATGATGCAGTATAGAGTGGCCAGAGTGCATGCATGTGCATGTGCGTATGTTTATTCACAACAATGCCTCCTAAATCTACCTGTTCTCCTGCAGTGGCACTACACCAAATAGATCCAGCCCATCTTCAGTCAAAGTCCCAGTCTAAAACACAAGCAGAGCCAGGTAATAGAACATGTTATTATGTATTATGCACAGCTTCTATAATTCAGTGACCTCATTAGTGTAGTGAACATGATAATATCAGAATGGAACATTTTCGCTCAGACAAAATAATGTTTTGCTTGACTATCAAAGGATGACTCCTGCCATTTTGATCATACAGTCCTCAAACTGAGCAAATAATTTTTTCCAATTGTTTATTATATCGACAACTATGAAAAATATTATGAAATAATTCTAAATCCCTATTACTAAACATCATGGTTGATTGAAGTAGAAGCCATACTGTAAGAAAATCTGACAATATAGGATAACAAAAGTAAGATGTACTGCCTTTAAAAGCATTTGTTAATGGGTCAAATATTAAGGAAATGTCAATAAAACTACCTTATCAAAACAGATACATTTCAACTTCCCACACATGTTTATCCTTGGAGGACTGATGCAAAATATCCCTGCTTTCTTGAGGCGATTCTGAGCGTATATTGTGCCCACTGTCATGGCTGCCGGTAAAGCTGGAGGAACACAAATTGTCACGATGTCCAAAGTTCTAAGAATAATTCTCTGAGCACTTTCCTGAAGGAGAAAAGGTATCTTATAAAATTGGAACTCTTTCTTGGTAAGTTTAAATGCATAAAAACCTTTTTGTCTGAGTTCAGATTAAAAACTACAGATTTGAAATTATTTTTGACAAATTGAGATCAAAGTCAAGCTTTCAATGACAAAAATCATGGCATACAAGCCCTTTTCAAGGCCGGTAGTAATTCCAAGTACTTATCCAGGCCACTAACTGAATTCAAGGCACAGGGCTAAATACAAGTAATTTTCAAGGCTGTATGAACCCTGCAGGGGTAGCAAATATTTGATCTACAATGACTGTTTTCATTCAAGGATATAAAATCTTTTATACTAACCCCTCTGCTTAAAAAGGTTGCTATATTATAGATCATCCCAATTGAAGCAATCAGGAACAGCACTTGAACAAAGCGGATAGCGTCTTGGTAGAATTTAAAGTCCATGGGTTTGGGGAAGAGGATTGCTCTCACCAGCTCTCCTTTGGTGGTAGAATAACCTAGATTTTACAAAACAGAGTCTTCTAAATATAGTTCTAACTAGAAAAGCATTCCGAGAGCGCAGACCTCCGCCAAGGCAGCAATTTTTTATTATTATTGATTATTGAATGATTATTGATCCGGATCACCACCAAAAACTAATTATCTCTTCGTTGGCCCACTTCTGGCAGTTCCTGAAAATTTCATCAAAATCTGTCCATAACTTTTTGAGTTATGTTGATGACAAACAAACAAACAGACAGACAAACAGGGGTGAAAACATAACCTCCTTGGCAGAGGTAATAAATAATACCTCTGAGAAGTTCCCAACAACAATATGGATATCCCAATTATTTTTGCAAATTAATTATAAGTCAGCCATCAAACAAGCCAACAAATAGGTCACTCTCTCTCTCTCTCTCTCTCTCTCTCTCTCTCTCTCTCTCTCTCTCTCTCTCTCTGGCTATCCATCTCTTTTTTTGTTTTTTTTTCTCTGAGAGTACAAACGTTTTTTATAAATTAATTTCAACTTTCAAAATATTAAGGACTTCACTTTGCAGGATTACAGTAGTCAATATTTTTCTCTATCTCCAACTCCAAGGACAAGACTGCCTGACTACGAAAAATGTGACGTCACTCTCTCACCTATTCTGGGCACTGTCTAGAAAAAAGGGTGCGGTCACACTCTCACCTGTTCTGACCACCACAGCGGTCACTTTTCCTGCCCCGTAGTATCTGGTCTGGATGACCTGAGTGCCACAGAAAAGGGTGTATCTCTTGTGGACATCATCAGGAGAGAACACTTCATCTGAGTCAGGCTGGTTTGGAAGGGGAGTCTTGGTCACTGGGACACTCTCACCTACGTAACAGATCAGCAAACATTCTGAACATATTTATTCAAAGCTTGAACTACTGTTGGGCTTAATAGTTTACATGATCAAAACTTGAGTCAAATTACACACTAGAGAGAGCAATTCTAAAATGTTATGTACACTATTACCAAATTAATAATGAAAGTCAAGAGAATATGATGTGTTTTTGTCTATATAAAGACACACACATACAAAGATGATGCCAGAAGAAATTACCCCCTCCCCCCCCCCTCAAAGAATCAGGCATGGGTGATTTTAAAGTAAAACTTCATCAACTTACATGTTCTTAAAAAAACCCAACTTGCTAATATTAAATTAATGCATATTTTAAACTTGTAAGACAATATTTTCTACCAAAATTAACATAACATAACAGCTGTGTACTGACCAGTCAACATGCTCTCATTGACAATACAGTTCCCAACAAGGAGGACAGCATCACATGACATCATACAGCCATGTTGGGGGATCACAACCACATCTCCAGGGACAAGTTTGGAGGTTGGAAGCTCTTCAAAGACTGAAATTATAATGACTCTTTAGTTGTATTTATAATAATTGCTGGCTGTTGATAACTTTTTTTTAATTTGAAATCACATATTTTTACAATTTAAAACCAACTTTTCATGAAAATTTTAATCAAAAAATTTCTTGAAGGGTGAGCGTGTTATTGCCCAGTGTCTCCACAGGTAAAGATCTGCCCATGACACATGCACATGACATGTCCTGATATCTAAGTTGTCTGCACTGAAAAAGTAATACATTGTCATTGGACAAAAAGTCTACATGAACAAAGATTGAACACACAAAGTCCACCAAAAGTTAGACTTCCTTGCAGATTTATCAGGTATACATTAATATACAGTATAATCTGAGAAAGCTGGCCCACTTCTTGTCATAAACTCAGCTTAATATTCAGCTAAATCATTAAAAAATCATCAACAATACAGGAAATTCAGAAAGTATTCAGTGATACATTTGCTGTTACTTAAAAAATATGAAAATTACCTCCATCTCCGCGAGATACTGTCATTACATTCACTTCATGGGAGGCTACCATGTCTCTTAGGGTTATACTTTGCTGATAAAATATAAAAAAAGCTTTATTATATTTAGTGAACCAACAGTGTTAATGGAAAAATGCTCAACAAATAACACATAGATTAGAACCAAACATAGTTTGTGCCATTTTCGGGAAGAAAATATATACTATCTCTAATTTCATCAAAACTTTGCTTGTGTGATGTCCCAAAAACGTGTATAATTGAAGACAATTGTGCTAATTTCATGTCCCAAAAATGTACATAATTAAAGGCAATAGTGCTAATTTGCAGACCTACTCTCAATAACCTTCTTTTCAAACAATTTGTCAAGCATCCTCCAGAGGAAAGGATAAATACTTCCTGCTAATGATGTTAAAAGAGCACCAAATTAAATATTTAGATCACACCTGCCCACACAGAAATGCCAGGTGGAAATCAAAAACCAAATCAATGTTCCTGGCAAATTACAACTATCCGGATGCATGAGCTAAATATCATTCAGGTCTTTTTGGAGAGACTATTTTATTGTTGATTTTTCTCACTCTTCTGTGTTTTAACATCAAATGATAAAAAAATGTCATTTTTTTTTCATTTTTCTAAGAATAACACACAGATACTTTAAAACTCTCAGTTTGTCAATTTCACAAAAAAGTCAAAGATGATTAAGTCTTAATATGCATCCTTATGGAAATCCAACAAATGCAGTACATCCTGTAACTGTAACTCGATATCTGGCTCACCTTTTTTGTCTCATATAAAGACACAACTATGGAGATCACAGATATGAGTATGATACAGCCAGCGTAGTAATAGTAATCATCACACATCCATAGTATTACACTGAACAGTTGAAAGATGTAGAAGGGATTCAGCACCTAGAAAAACAAATGAAATGCTGTCTATAAATGAATACATCTATGGTCAGATTGAATAACATATATATATGTATATATCTTTCATTAACCACTTTATAAACCACTCTCTCAAACACAGTAATGACTTGATCTTCAATGGACAATAATTATCAAACTTTCACATACATAATTTTATAATCGCAAAATTATATTTCATAAGTGCTTTTTGTGGTGATTTTACTGCATACAAAAGAACTATAGAGTAGCCTGCTCTTTAATGTTGATACTTCTACTAAATAGGAATTTTCTAATATTAAGAAACTGTGACATAAAAAATACAGTATCAGTAAAATTCACAATTTCCCCCCATTGAAAAGATTGACTAATTATCGTATTGGTAAAACAAAGAAAAACTGAAAAATGTAGATAACCATTACCTCTTCCACAAGCAGCTTGAAATAGGATTTCACTTCCACCACAATCTCATTGCAGCCAAATATTTTCAGTCTGAAGTTATATGACACTGTGGTCAGTTTAAAATCAAATATAATATTTGACCTTCACTGAAACATTTGACAATCAAAATCTAATCACAGACATGAGCCTAGGTTAAAAAAAACTCTGAATGTTTATCATGGAACCCAACACCTAGCCAGAAATCTCAGGAACCATCAGAATTGAAGTAAAAACGCAGAATTCCACGTTTCTGCGGAAAAAGCTCATGTCTGAATCAATATGGACTGTTCTGAATGTAAATATCCTGAGCAGATAACTTTTAGCTGTTACGTACAGCTATTTCTCTTGATAAGCAAAATATACTGTATGTCAAGTAATATGAACAAATATTTAAAACTTTCAACACCATTTAGGAGTTCAATGACAAGAAGAAAAATGTCTGTTTCTTACTTTTGCCTTTGCTCTAATTCACTATATCCATGGAATTCACTGTGAAATTCAGAACACTTTGTTCCTTTATCTAAACCACTGAAACAGAAAGAAACTTTGAAAAGCTATAAAACTAGTTTTCAAGACAATTTATTACATACAGTTATACATAGTAATCTATTGTACATTAATAATGATTTTTAAATGTTACTTCGTAAAAAATAGGTGCAATAAAATTCTGAAATTCAGAGTATACTCAAAGAACATCACATTTCAAGTTTATCATTGTAAAATAATTTTTCAAGCAAATTCTACAAACATCTCACGAGTCACATCTGAGTAACATGGCAAGATGATACTTCCAATATAGTTAAATCTATGAAAAAACAGAAGTTTACACCAGCAATTTGAAAGCACGTTCTTCATGGCTCCAGAAATATCTGAGATACTGGTGCACAAAGAATCTGGTATGAGGACGCTGAAATAGAAAAAAAAAGAAAAAAGAAATTTCACATTTTAAGCAAGCTAATTTTGTCAAACAACATTTACTGATTTTTCTATAGCAACTATTCAATGCATACTTGTACAAGCACACACCATATCCCTTTAGTCAAATGGGAGTTGCAGTCCTCAATGAAAAAGTAGGAAAATTTGACGGGGGTTCAGGGTACAAGATTCACAAGAATAACCCGGCCAAATGACCCTGAAAAAGTCAGATTTCCAACAAAAGTCGGAAAAGTCTCATCAGTGCAGTTGGACCAGTGTCAGGCCTACCCAACTACCAGACTTGGCCCATAAGGATCCTGAATTAACCGGTATATCGGACAACACTACCCGTTTTCAAGGTGTGTGTCAGATTGCATTTTGGAGTATCACACCCCAGAACAATTTTTGTAGGACAACCTCGGTGTTCTGACTGATACTCCAAAATGTGATCTGACACATACCTTGAAGACGGGTAGAGTGGTTTGATATATCGGTAAATTCAGGATCCTTATGTGCTGAGTCTGGTAGTTGGGTAGGCCTGAGTGTGAAGTGTAATCTGGTATATACTCCAATACATATGCTAGGTACAACATATATCTCACATGGGATGATAATACTTAGCAATTGAATGTTATCAAATGCCATTGTTAAGCATTACCTAATAGAAAGATGTTAAATCAGTATCTGGATATTCAATTTCAATATACTCAGAGAGAGCTTGTTCTCTATCAATGTTTATTAACTTCAAATTCTGTAATAAGAATACCTGGCAAAGCAAAACTGATTAATAATGCAATTTCTTCACTTAAAACCACTCCTTAATGTCAAAATGAAATTGATAATGTATAAATAAAAAGAAGTGCTTCATGTATTTCTGTATAAGTTCTTAAACCAGTCATTTGAAAAAAAA